ACACAGCACGCACCCATACGATAGAAAAGAGGGAGAAGGAAAAGTATTATTTACAAGGCAAGATAATTATGAAAGACGCACTAAATAAATTCAACAGCAAAATATGTACAGAAATTATCAGTCTGTCTTATTGACGTTCTGTCATAGGGCGGTTTATTTTTCCGCGGCTGTTGAAATTACACGAGGTTGAATATGAAATGGATGTGAAATGCGTGCCGATGATGATGATGAAGATGAATGGAGACGGCACCTACAAAATATTAACACACTTGACAAGTTTGACAACAACAAAGGGATGTCATATTTCTTATTTAGTACCATTAGTACAAAAAGGGTTTATTACCTACCTGTTTAATTACTAAAATAAATATAAGTAAAACGAGTCAGTTGCTGAATTTCGACTGTCTTTTATTTTCACATTTGAATGTGAAATATCATACACATGACATTTAGGTTCACATAGCTGTCAATAGATGTCTCTATATACTATTTTGATATACTTTCCAACAATAAAGATAAATTAATTAGTTTTAATCAAATTTAACGCTGCCCCCAGGAATGGTAAAAATGTAAATTTTCATAATAAAATGAATTAACATATTTACTATTTTTTTTACATTATCTACTGGATGCCAAATTTGAACTGTCTATATCATCTGAAAGTTATTAAAAATTTGATCTATTATAGGTCAGTCAATCAGTGATGAAAATGTCGATTTTTGGACTTAAATAATTAAATAACCATTTGATGTATATTTATGAAATTTGGAACTAATGTTTATCTTGCAAGTCTCAACACATGAGCCAAATTTGACGTCTAAACGCACAATAGCTTTTGGGTGATGAGGGGTCAAAAGTGGCCCCAAGTAATTAGTGAAAACAAGAAATACGGTGCAGTCCCCTCGCTGGAACTTGGCTTAACACACTCCCGCATATCTAAAATGTTTGCTCAGTGTTGATTTGATCAATTTCTGAGTGAGTGAGACAAAATAATATTTCCACAGACCTTCTAGAGCAGATGCCTCGAAAGCTATACAGGGTGTTAGGTAAATGGGTATATGAGCCGACACTAGCCCATGTTAACATGGTCATATAAATGGTATGGTGAAGTCAGAAAATTGATATCTTCATTTTAATTATTTTAATTTTCATACAAATCGGATTTTATAAAATTTATTTTGTATGAAAATTAAAAAAAAAAAATGATGAAATCAAATTTCTAAAAAAAGTATAAGATTAAAGAAAAACTTGACTATAGCAATTCAGCTTTTTTTGGTTCATAGTGGTCATGTGATCATGTCACTAGGATGCATAGTTTCCGAGAGTTAAGCGAAAATCCGAAAAATGGGACCTTCAAACCCCCCTCTCCCCACCGGCTCAAGGGCTAAGGGCGGGGACTTTTAATATGTTCATCTCCTAACTAGTCTAAATAAAGACCCGAAGTCAGAAATTCTATTCCACGGATTTCCCTCTATAATGCTTTATTGACTGGACTATTAATTAGGTAATCAAATATTTTTAGAATCTAGACTTTGGTTTATCAGGGAATTATAGTTAATATCTAAGTCTATCTTATGTAAGTAAATAATAAATCAAATATCTAAAAACATGTGCTACCTACCATAGTAAATCCTTGTTGATAACTTAGATTGAATTATCTAATATAATTCTAATAATTTGACTGAATATGGTTATCTGGACCGTTCATTGTGAAAAACCTTGGGGGAGGCCTTTGTCCAGCAGTGGACGTCATTTGATTGAAACGACGATGGTTATCTAATAAAAATTGTATGAAGATGAACTCCAAGAACAAAATATTTATGATAGAATTAAGAATCAAACGAACTTACCTGTGATGTTTGATATCTAATTATACGAGTGTCTTGACCGAAGATGATTATGTTTTACATGCAGCAGTACCTGGGATGATGCCGTCCTTATCACACTTTTAGAGAATATTTATTTAAAAATATAAGTTTTAAATATAATAAAGTACGTGTTTTGACTCCTCAGCACCGTAGTACATTCCGCGGTCCGCCATATTTCTTGTCATTATTTTAGAGCAAATTTTTTCGATCGGTAAAGGGAAATTATACTCGGGTGAGGTGGGACTGTAATCAACTTCGGTCAAGACACTCGTATAATTAGATATCAAACATCACAGGTAAGTTCGTTTGATTCTTNAAGTATAATTACTTTTATACAAATGTAATGCATTCGTCTCACGTCAAATTCTTTATAACTTACTGCATTTTACTGTGGAAAGCTCGGTGAGCAATCATTTTGTTACGACGGTTCTCGTCGTAAAAAGAGACTAGTTGGAAACTTTACAGCCTGGCTGTGTTCCCCTACAGTTAAAATTGTCCACGTCGAAAAAAGTTAATACTACACAACTACACCAATTCGGTATGTCGAGCGCAGTTTCAAAATTACGACCGAAACGAGATTTCTACAATCTCTTTTCATGGTCCAAATGTTTATAAAAAGTGTATTTTTTTTTTGTTAAAAGAAACATAGATAATAAAAGAAGAATACGTGCTGACTAGTTCGAGTAAAAAGTTTGGAATTGATTCCTTTTCATTTTGTTCAGCCATTCGACCTCATTCAGATCAAGTCTTGTTATAAAGTTGTTGGTGACCTTTTCAATTATACTATCGGCTTTTCATTATGCTCAGTTAAGATCTGAACATAATGAAAATAACTTCCCAAAATAACTTTGCTGAATAAAAGTTATATCATATATTTTTTTAAATTGACTGCCGCGTTTTCAAATATTTTGTATACGTATAATAGTCTGCGGCACATCCTAGATTAACACGGTGACACAGACTACACGTCATTTAAACCCCAAGTTCATAGTACGCGGAGCTCCGGTTTGAACTAACGGTTATGTTTTACGGTGGTTTTAGCACCTTCAAAAATAAAATTTTACTATAACTACATAATTTACTCCTAGTAAAATTTAAACATGTTACGATTAATAAACAAGAAGTTTGACAAAGGAGAGTTGTTTGTAAAACCAATCACCTGCATAGCAAGTTGGAATAGAATGAAATTTCAAATAAAGTGAATTTACACGCAAAATCAAATGGTAAAAGCAACCGACCATTAGAGAACTCCCGCACGTTTCGTCAGTGTTATGTATTATATCATCACCACTACCTTCAGTAGTTTCGTGGTTGTTATCGTTAAGTATACATTCGAAATTCAAGACTGTTTAGTATTCAGAATTAACAATAATTTTGCATAATCTATCTTGTTGGTAGAAATAATATTGAAAGTAAGTTTCCGAATCTATATTAATAAAATGGCTCATTTGGCATTTTGATGTTCAAATAATTTGTTAAAATGATAAACTGCAATTAGACGAACTGCAATCGTAAGCTTAGATTTGGGTGATGTTGGATGTGAGAATAGGAGGTACTGTTTTAAGGCTTCGGCAGACCAAGTGCGGGTCAGTTGCAGCACGGCAGTAGGCACACTGAAGGCAGCGACAGTTTCAAAGCAATTGCAACGCGGGCTAGCGTCAGTTATTTATATTTAGTTTCAGTGCAATTTTCTCCCACAATCGCAGCTTGTATGTTGTGTTTCTATAATTTTTATCTTTAAAATCATATAAACATTTATTTTTACGTACTAATTCAATTAGTTTTTCATTAGTATCCATCATGCGGTTGTAAAAAAAACCGGCCAAGTGCGAGTCGGACTCGCGCACCGAGGGTTCCGTACAAACCTGCAAGGTTTACAAAGTTCGTTCATTACGACAATCGAGTCATAACTATGGTATTTTTATTGCAAAATGAAATTCATAACATTACAATGGGGAAAGATGGAGGAGCATAAATTTAAGACGGATTAACTTAGAAGTTTGATTTTTTTAGTTCAAAGGGACAATAGATCTAGGTATTTGGTATAAATTTCAATTTGATACCTTTATTCGTTCGTGAGAAATAAGGTAGTAAGTTTCATTTTATTAAAATATTTTTATTATATTATATAACTAAAAAAATGTAATTTTCGCAATTTTTCCTATATTTGCATTATATGACAATGCTTTATGCCAAATTTCAAGATTCTGAGTTTACGGGAAGTATCCTGTAGGTTTTGATTCCTTTGCGAGTGTCGAAAATTTGTTGAAAATATCGACATAATCGGCTGTATCTTTTGATTGGCTTGGCTTAGAAGTTTGATATTTTCACAGCTTAAAGGGACAATAGACCTGAGTATTTCATGTGAATTTCAGCTTGATACGTTCACGCGTTCTTGAGATAAAGGGTCTTGACAGACGGACGGACGGACAACAAAGTGATCCTATAAGGGTTCCGTTTTTTCCTTATGAGGTACCGTTAACTTAGAAGTTTGATTTTTTTACTTCTTAAAGGGACAATAGATCTAGGTATTTGGTATAAATTTCAATTTGATACCTTTATTCGTTCGTGAGAAATAAGGTAGTAAGTTTCATTTTATTAAAATATTTTTATTATATTATATAACTAAAAAAATGTAATTTTCGCAATTTTTCCTATATTTGCATTATATGACAATGCTTTATGCCAAATTTCAAGATTCTGAGTTTACGGGAAGTATCCTGTAGGTTTTGATTCCTTTGCGAGTGTCGAAAATTTGTTGAAAATATCGACATAATCGGCTGTATCTTTTGATTGGCTTGGCTTAGAAGTTTGATATTTTCACAGCTTAAAGGGACAATAGACCTGAGTATTTCATGTGAATTTCAGCTTGATACGTTCACGCGTTCTTGAGATAAAGGGTCTTGACAGACGGACGGACGGACAACAAAGTGATCCTATAAGGGTTCGGTTTTTTCCTTATGAGGTACTGAACCCTAAAAATACAATATTCGTCAACCGCTTTCAACGCGATGCGCTGCACTGCTACCGCCCTGCCTCCGGTGAGTCATGCTAATATGGCCGCCATAGTAATACAACAGCGCGGGCCCGCGCACGCGCCGCTCATTCGCTGCTACCACAGTTTTGATTTATCTACTGTGCTGTTACCACAGTATATTTATCTAATGCTGCTACTGTCCCGATCCCGCGCCGCCGCCTGGTTTGTCGTTCGGTAGTTGCAGTGCGGCGCGGCGCGGAGCGGTTGGAATTTGGTGTGACACACTTCAAAGAGTTTCTTGTATTTACAACTTGCGCGGGCCCGCATTCAAACAGTGCTGCTAATGCCCTGCGATTGGTCTGCTGAAGCCTTTAAGCCTTTCAAATTCGTTGTCGGTTGTCAATAGAAGGAAAAGGCTAGAAGCTGAAAGGAAAATGAGGCGCAAGCGCGAGGTGTTTGAAGTCTAATAACGATTCTCGGAAGTAAACTGTTATTTGCAGGATTGTCTATTTTGTGATAACCTACTTAATTGTGTGTATCGGCTATCTACTATACATATTGATTCGAGTTGAAATGGCGTGAATATGACGTGTCATACGGACGACCGGGCATCATAACACGGCCATTGTAGGTACTCTTACATTGCCAAAAACAATTTAAATCCGAAATAATTCATAAAGGCTTATTAACCCATTTAGACCGATAATTATTTTTGTAAATAATAATTGATTTCTCAGCAAGAACTTACAAAGGGAAGCATAAAAATCATGAAAAAAGTATTTAAAAAAATAATCCATAAAAAGGGGGCCGTATCTACTAGTTGTTCAAAGCAGGTTTTTATTTATTTTTGTATGACATAAAATAAAAATAAAATCACATAATCACCAGTATTACTCTTGGCATAGCTTGTAAGTCGTTTTATGTGGCACTAATCACATTTGGTTCTTTTTTCCTACCTTCTCCAAAGTTAGTGAGGATAGCTGAAGAAGACCTGGCTTCTTCTGACTTGTTACGTTTATTGCTATCAATAACCGCATTTAACAATACGATGACGGAAATTTAGCAAATCCATCGAAGAAAACTGAGGATAATTATTTATATTGACACTGTCGTTATCGCCTGAATTGTTGATGAGCACCTTCATGCTGTATAACGTAGAGCTGGCTAGCTGGAACCGCTATGATAGAACTGTCATTTATATTCAAATGTGATGTTGTCTTTAGCTGTGTAATNAAAAAGCAAGAGTTTTAATTAGTCCGTCAGTTAACTTATCAAAAAATACTCTACACGTATTTTTCACTTTTTCAAACTAATGAAAATTTAAAGAGATAAAGCGCCCCAAAGTTCATAAGAAGAGGCCCGTGACGTCAACGCTTGCTTAAAAATGCCGCACGTTGTGACGTCGTGCGCATCTTCAACGCACCATAACTATGTAATTATTTGTTAGATTGACAAATAAAAATATATGTGTCCAATATTTTTTGATATTAAACATTACGGACTAAAAAAATTTTTTTAGGCAACTAGCCTAATAATGCAGTTTCTAGCATTCAGTTTCAAGTTTACAACAAATAAAGTAATATTTAAATACATAATAAATATCGTCATTATGTCATTGAAGCATTACCCCTCCCGAGCCACTTCCGTACCTCGGGCAATGACCGAGATAAGCTTGGATTATATTTACCTTGGATTTATTGTCGCCGTCGACGTCATCAGTCAAGTCCTTGATGCCGAGCTCGAGCTTGGTCTTCTCGCGGACCAGTTGTTGCTGCTCTGTGGACAGAATGTCTTTTTCTTCGCGCGCCGCCGCCACATCCTTGCGGGCTTCTTTTAGTTTTCTGTTAGAAATAAATACAGAAAAATTTAAAAAACGCAAGGTCATGAATATGTAGAAAGTTACATAAATATGCAGCTTACACTACTCCAAGTTCGTCATCATCATCATCAACAGCCCTTTACAGTCTACTGCTGACTGACTGACAGACTGATTTACCATAATCCCCACGCTTGGCAGGCGGGTTGGAGATCGCAGTTTAAAAGATTGATGTTTTTAAAGAACACTGCTGCCCGTTCTCCGTTTGATGAGTAGTCCCTAAGTCGTCTCTTACACCCGCGGGAAGAGTAGGGGTTGGTGACAAATATTCTACTCTGCCATCACCACACGGCACTACAGTGTAGTGTAGACACGCATATTACTTCATTTTGAGCAACCTCGCCTCGAAAGTTGTCGATTTTAGAAGCACCGAGTAGTGTAGCTAAGTTATTCGTTTCAGTCAAATGACGTCCACTGCTGGACATAGACCTCCCCCAAGAATTTCCACAAAGACCAGTCCTGCGCCGCCCGCATTCAGGCACTCTCCGCGAGTTAAGCTATTTATTTATTTAAGACTTACAAAACAGGTTACAGCCAAAATATGATTTACAAATTTTAATACAGTACGATTTTATGGACTAGGTTGTTACCCTTAGTAATTTAGGCCTGATTAGACCAAACTTTTATCCGAGAATAACTCCTGGTATAACTGGCACATTGACAGTTTCAGTATGGGCAATATGTCAAAAGACAAGTTTATTCTGCGATTAACCGCTTGAGTCCCAGACGGCATTCATTCATGTCATAACAATTGAATATCTATTGTGTCTAGATTCGCGGGCCTTGAAGGATTAATACTTATTTACTCTCGTTTGGTCGAATCCGCCCTAAGTAAGATATTTTTTTGTGTTATTTACCTGTTAGCCTCTCTAACATGTTCTTGCGCCTCCCGCACTTGATCGGCGTAATGCTGTTGTTCTTTGCCACTGTTTGAACGCATTTTTTCCAACTGTAACGAAGTTTCAATAGTTAAGTAGGTAGAACACAGAAGGCACCACGATTTCGGCATTAAACTCTCGATTCCAAAGGCTGTTAAAGTTCGATTCTCATAGATGCGAACACCAGGGAAATGGTATTGAAATCTCTATTATTGTTCTGAGAAGAACATTCATTAATTGTGACTTATATCTGTGGATTTGAGGATACCACAATAAGGAAGCTAAGGTGTTGTGCTTCCTTCCGAGCGGGTGCTGTGCTCAGGGACCAACGTCCAATTATTAACCATATCTTTTGCCCGCGGCTTCACCCGCGTGAAATTTTGTGTCACAAATCTGCATAAATTATAGCCTATATGTTAATCTGGGTTACAAAAAATAATACTGTAAAGTTTCAACAAAATCCGTTCAGTAGTTTTTGCGTGAAAGAGTAACAAACATCCAGACATCCAAACTTCCGCATTTATAATATTAGTAGGATAGTAGGATCTGGGTTTTCTATTTATGCTAGTCTATGCAGAAACATTGACACCGCGATGTAGGTTTGTAGGCGCGGTAGCATATGCCATAGAAAGGTAGGTGTCAACGCCATCTTTTGGGCGATGACTGTAGTGGCGTGTCGATAGATGTCGCCACATAAATAGGCTAGTTTCCTAAAAAAATTTTTTAGTTTGTCATGTTTAATATCAAAAAATTTTGGACACATATTTTTATTTGTCAATCAAACAAATAATTACAGAGTTATGGTGCGTTGAAGTTCCGCGCGACGTCACTTTTATTCACTCATTGACGTCATGGGCCTCTTCTTATGAACTTTGGTGCGCTTTATCTCTATTAGTTTGAAAAAGTGAAAAATACGTGTAGAGTATTTTTTTATAAGTTAACTGACGGACTAATTAAAGCTCTTGCTTTTTGACCCAGGAAACATCCCTATTACCTCCTCCAGTTTTCTCTTATTCTCCCTATGTTCGGTGTCATGTATGATGAACTCGAGCACTCTTCGGGCGCGGTCCCACTTCTGGTATTCCTTCAGCTCCTCTTTCTCTTCCTCGAGGGTCTTCAATCTCTCCTCGATGGTTTGCAGGAACTCATTGATCTTCTCGACCTGAAAAGGGGCAGAATTTATGTATAAAAACAGCAATCATCGATTAACTTTGAATACAGTAGACATGTTGACACCACCAATCAATTGACGTACTTTTTAAAACTGTCAAAACGAAACTCTCCCATAGATTTCGTATGGCACTACAAGCAAGTGACGTCACTATTTTGTCAATTCAATTAAACTACCTACTTTTTTTCAATTACAATGTGACCAAAAATCGTAATTTACACGTAATTTAGAATTAATTAAGTTTTTAAGACCAGAATGAAGTGTTTTTTTAGAAAAATTGTGATTTCGTTTTATTGGGGAATGGTGTCAAATTGTATATTTGTTAATAATAATTACAGGTCCTGATAGAAATTTAAATGACTTTCAAAAATTTTACAATCTCAAACAGGTTCCTGAATATAAAAAAGTACTTTAGTAACTTAGTAGTAGTTAGTTAAGTAAATAATGTATAAGTATGCAGGTACTACATTTATTGCAATGGGCCTGGCCTATTTTACCTTCCCAACAGTCTCTTTCAGGATAGTAACGGACTCCTCCCTACGTTCATCATAAACCCTTGTCCCCGCCACTTCTCTGAGTAGCTTCAACCTGTGCGAGTCTGGTGCAACAGCCATCTGATTGATCTGAAATTAATGTAACACAATACAGATACAAGTTTTTACTAATGTAGGTTATGTTAGGTTACTAAACTAGTTCAGTAGGTCTAGACAAAGTGCAAATTATAATCGCAAACCAGTCGAAAAGTGGTCGAAAACCCCCATTTTTGTATGGAGTTTTGACGGATTCAATTTTCGATTCGATCAATAAGTGCGTTTTGTCTAGGGGGGGCAGATGTCAGCCCACCATAGCCAATTAAAGCATAAATTAGCCTAAAAAGATTTTGAACTTTTGCGTTCGACGTTTCAACAGTGACGTCGTGACGTGAGTGATTGTGACGCGATCCGCCAGTCTGCTTGTGACCACGGCTTCAGCATAGCAGCCCAAAAGTCAAGCTGTGAGTACATAATGTAACTCATTAATAAACGTTGCATTAAGACCAGTGTCTTTCTATTTTAGCCTAATTATAATTCCAAAAAATGAAATTTTGTTTGTATAGCCTGACCAGGAACATAAAAACCCTGGCATAGANCCTGCATAGCTAATGAAAATTCAGCCTTCTAGTTTTATCCACAACGAAGTTACAGGCGGTCGAAAATGGCCTGAATTGCTTCGAGAAAAGGATGGTACGGCCGTGCCGCTTTTTTGCTCGACTTGGTGGGGGCACTGCCGTGCCCCCAGATTAATTTTAAACAGAAGGTAGTTTTTGATGTCTTCAACGAGTGCTTTCGTGAATAGTTTCAGATTAGATACCACTGTTATTTTATTAATTTTTACTAACCAATAGACGTCCACTGCTGGACAAAAGCCTCAGGGGGGGGGACAAAAACTTCCCTTAGGGATTTCCACAACGACCGGTCCTGCGATGTCCACATCCTTCCCTCGCAACCTTCACCAGCCTAGCTAGGATGCGCGCCGTGAATACTTTATCGACGTCAAAATGTATGGGCAAAATCGATAAAATGGCGTGATAACCGCTTATCGCAGCGCGCATCTTAGGCCTACTGATCGTCTGCTTTCAATCGTCAGTAGTCGACTTAATACTTAATTACATAATAAAGAACTTAGATAAAAAAAATCTTCTCAAGTGCATCACGACGTGATGTTTCATCTTTTCCCCTATAGAGAGCAGGCAATAACCACCGCATCTCTTTTCAATGGTTTGCATGGGTATGGTGGAAGTAGACCAAGACAGTTAATTCTTTATTTTAAACCCTAAAAACTGGCAGTTACAAGTTTAGTAAATTTAAACAAATCACTTGATTTACAACAGCAATATTAATTAATCAAACGCAGCTGTTGAAATATATCACCCGGCCGATATTATGCCGGACGGCGACCGCCGACTGTCAGCCGTGATGTGCGACGCGACCGCAAACTGCTGTCCGCTGCGTGAGACACTGNTTCCATAAATAAGCAATATCATTTTATTATAATATAACCTGGGTATTTTGATATTTGACGAATATTTGGTTATTTTACAATTTATAACTTGGCAACATTGTCACTTGGTTACTCCGTCGTTTACCTTTAAACGGGGAATCCCCGGTGGTTGGTGATTATTGCAGTGAATAATTAACCTATGTGTGAGTGAATTGAACAGTTTTTATTTCTGAATTGTTTTGAACATTGAATCTCATTTATTTGCGATATCTGCAGAAGCTTATTACTGTAATACTTAGTGTATTGAAATTTGACAAAAATACCACCTAACGTTCACAAATAAAGCTTTTTACATTTTATTCTACTTTTTAATTTAAGATATTGCTTAAAATATCAATCGTAATCACCTAACGTTCACAAATAAAGCTTTTTACATTTTATTATACTTTTTAATTTAAGATATTGCTTATATCAATAGTAATTGTAAGCAAGTACGTTTTTGATGTAGGTAGGTACATTACGTACATGGTGGTAATTAACAAAATACTAAACCGACAGAGTAATGAATTTTAAAAACGTATTCGTTGACAATTATTACGTACAATGGAGATAAACTACCATCCCTTGAGTTAAATTTAGCTTATACATTATGCATTATGTGCCTATAATGCCTAATGAATAAGCTAAATTTATCAAAACTGTTATAACCCTCTCTTAAATAATGTAATCTAAAACAAAACGGACAGGACGTAACAAATCGCTGTATGTAACTACTAGTTGATTGAAAAAAAAAATGGAACAATAATAACCGATTAAAAACCGAAAACCGGTTTTTTTTCTTGAAAACCGAAAAAAAAATCGGTTTTTGATAAACTTTCGGTTTTGCATACCCTAATTGAAAGTTATGCGTACAGTGAAGTATGTAATTGTTGAAAAAACGAATGTGACTCACTAAGATTGTGTAACATTGGAAATATTCCATAGTAAATATTATGATCCATTATGTTTTTGTTACAAAACGCAAACTTACGTTTTACAACTCGCATAAAGTGAGATTAAACAAGTGAGAAGAAGTAAAAACATTCATCTACGAATGTTTTGCGAGTGTGTTTACATAATACGCAAGTTAGAGGTTTGATATTCCACACTGCATGGATTCAAAAGAATTTGTGATGAGAACAAATTAATATCATGAGGGCGCTGAACTCAGAATTCGCGTATCAATGTTATCAGTTAAGCTCATAATAATATGCAGTATCTTGCAATCAGTTTCAAGTTTACAACAAATAAAGTAATATTTAAATACATAAACATGATCATTGTCATTGAATTTCTGCATGAGCAAAGGCTTTTTTTATTTACCAAAAGCAGATGGATTGTGTAACGTTAACTCAGTGTCTGAGGTACGGGAGCGGCCCGGGTGGTTTTGTAACGTCAAAAACGTCAGCAAAACTTCAGATTTTTATGCTCTGTCACGTAAATGTTAAGCTTGAGCCACACCATCTCGTGCTGATCGCCATCGCTGGCGCAATCAAAGGCTAATAATGACAGGTAGCGCGACCCATGACGGTTCACGCGACCTGTCATTGGCCTTTGATCGTACCGTGATCGCGCCGGCGATGGCGATCTGCACGCGTTGGTGTGGTTGAAGCATTACCCCTCCCGAGCCGCTCCCGCACCTCGGGCAATGACTGAGTTAAGCTTGGATTACACCGGTCAACAAAAAAATATTTTTTTTTGCGCATGGATTTTACTTATTATATTCTGATTATTTAAGCAAATTTATATAAAAAAGTGCGATTACAAATCTAAAATATTTGCTTTTTAAGAAGCTATAGCGATTTGAATTTTCCATCTTCATAGTAAAATGTCTCTAAAGATGCACGTCAAATTCTCATTGGGATACATTTATAGATAATTATGGGGGTTTATTCGCAAGAACAAGGGGCACGCTTCCATAAAAATATAGTGGGATTTGAGAGACGACGTAACCAAGACCAGTATACTGAAAGCATGATAGGGTTAGGTTTTTTTGAGAAAAATCCTCTATGGAACATTACAGGAAAGTAGAACTTTTCATTTTTAATAAATATTTGGACTCTATTTCAAAACTTCTCTTGTGAGAATGAATCTTGAATGGATGTTTGGTGTATTTTAATAATTAGAAAAAAATAAAGAATGAAAGAAAAAAAATATATTTGGCAACAAATGAAATCATCTCTATGTCCATGTTTCATACATTCTTTGATATGATTATTTATATTTTTTACACATAAAAGCAAATTCAGAACAATTTTTTGTTGTTATTCTTATTTCTAGGTATTAAAGCAATAAAAATAAGCTATGCATAACCCGTGCGCAAAAATGCTGTAGACAGTTGTAATATGTATTTCATCATCATCATCATTTCAGCCATAGGACGTCCACTGCTGAACATAGGCCTCCCCCAACGCCCCCATGCCGATCGATTGGCAGCGGCCTGCGTCCAGCGCTTCCCTGCTACCTTTACGATGTCATCGGTCCACCTTGTAGGTGGACGTCCCACGCTGCGTTTTCCGTTTATATGTGTATGTATTTACCTTGGATTTATTGTCGCCGTCGACGTCATCCGTCAAATCCTTGATGCCGAGCTCGAGCTTGGTCTTCTCGCGGACCAGTTGTTGCTGCTCTGTGGACAGAATGTCTTTTTCTTCGCGCGCCGCCGCCACATCCTTGCGGGCTTCTTTTAGTTTTCTGTTAGAGACAAATACAGAAAAAGCAAGGTCATGAATATGTAGAAAGTGTTACATAAATATGCAGCTTACACTACTCGAAATTCGTCATCATCATCATCAACAGCCCTTTACAGTTTACTGCTGACTGACTGACAGACTGGTTTTGCCATAATCCCCACGCTTGGCAGGCAGGTTGGAGATCGCAGTTTAAAAGATTGATGTTTTTAAAGAACACTGCTGCCCGTTCTCTGTTTGATGTGTAGTCCCTATGAAGAGTAGGGGTTGGTGACAAATATTCTACTCTGCCGTCACCACACGGCTTGCACGCACTCGCGAAGTTGGCCAAAGTTAATCGAAGTAGATAGTGTAGTGTAGACACGCATATCAATTCGTTTTGCCTTATCGTTCCCTCGAAAATCGTCAATTTTGGAAGCACCGAAGCGAGTAGTGTAGCTAAGTTATTCGTTTCAGTCGAATGACGTCCACTGCTGGACAAAGGCCTCCCCCAAGAATTTCCACAAAGACCAGTCCTGCGCCGCCGCATTCATACACTCTCCGCGAGCTAAGCTATTAAGGCCCCATTCGACCAAACTTTTATCCGAGAATAACTCCTGGTATAACTGGCACATTGACAGTTTCAGTATGGGCAATATGTCAAAATGACAAGTTTATTCTGAGATTAATTATTTACTCTCTTATTTACTCTCGTTTGGTCGAATCCGCCCTAAGTAAGATATTTTTTGTGTTATTTACCTGTTAGCCTCTCTAACATGTTCTTGCGCCTCCCGCACTTGATCGGCGTAATGCTGTTGTTCTTTACCACTGTTTGAACGCATTTTTTCCAACTGTAACGAAGTTAATAGTTGAGTAGGTAGAACATAGAAAGCACAATGATTTAGCCATCAAACTCGATTTGAAAGGCTGTTAAAGTTCGATTCCTGTAAACGCGAACGGTAGGGAAATGATATTGAAATCTCTATTATTGTTCTGAGAAGAACATTCATTAATTGTGACTTATATCTGTGGATTTGAGGATACCACAATAAGGAAGCTAAGGTGTTGTGCTTCCTTCCGAGCGGGTGCTGTGCTCAGGGACCAAGGTCCAATTATTAACCATAGCTTTTGCCCGCGGCTTCACCCGCGTGAAATTTAGTGTCACAAATCTGCATAAATTATAGCCTTTATGTTAATCTGGGTTACAAAAAATAATACTGTAAAGTTTCAACAAAATCCGTTCAGTAGTTTTTGCGTGAAAGAGTAACAAACATCCAGACATCCAAACTTCCGCATTTATAATATTAGTAGGATAGTAGGATCTGGGTTTTCTATTTATACAGAAAGCTAGCTAGTCTATGCAGAAACTTTGACACCGCGATGCAGGTTTGTAGGCGCGGTAGCGTGTGACATCGAAAAGAAGCTGACAGCGCCATCTGTTGGGAAATAACTGTAGTATAGTGTAGATAGATGTCGCTACATCAATTACCTCTTCCAGCTTTCTTTTATTTTCTCTATGTTCGGTGTCATGTATGATGAACTCGAGCACTCTCCGGGCGCGGTCCCACTTCTGGTATTCCTTCAGCTCCTCTTTTTCTTCCTCGAGGGTTTTTAATCTCTCCTCGATGGTTTGCAGGAACTCATTGATCTTCTCAACCTGAAAAGGGGCAGAAATTTAGGTCAGAAACAGCAATCATCAATTAATTTTGAATACAATTCGTTCGTTCGTTTCAGCTGAATGAAGTCCACTGCTGGACAGAGGCCTCCCCCAAGGATTTCCATGAAGACCGATCCTGCGCCGCTTGCATCCAGGCACCTCCCGCGATCTTCACCAGATCGTCGGTCCACCTAGTGGGAAGCCTGCCCACGCTACGTCTTCCAGCTCGTGGTCGCCACTATCGAATACAATTAATTTGCTAATAATAATTACAGGTCCTGACAAAAAATTAAAGTTTAAATGACTTTCAAAAATTTTACAATCTCAGTTTCCTGAATATAAAAAAGTTTTCAAAGAACTTTAGTAACTTAGCAGTTAGTTTAGTAAATAATGTATAAGTTTGCTGGTACTCCATTTATTGCAATGGGCCTGGCCTATTTTACCTTCCCAACAGTCTCTTTCAGGATAGTAACGGACTCCTCCCTACGTTCATCGTAAACCCTTGTCCCCGCCACTTCTCTGAGTAGCTTCAACCTGTGAGAGTCTGGTGCAACAGCCATCTGATTGATCTGAAATTAATGTAACACAATACAGATACAAGTTTTTACTAATGTAGGTTATGTTAGGTTACGAAAACTAGTTGAGGTGTCAGCCCACCATAGCCAATTAAAGCATAAATTAGCCTAAAAAGATTTTGAACTTTTGCATTCCGTTTCAACAATGACGTCGTGACGTGAGTGATTGTGACGCGATCCGCCAGTCTGCTTGTGACCACAGCTGCAGCATAGCAGCCCAAACGTCAAGCCGCACATAATGTAACTCATTAATAAATGTCGTGCTAAGACCCATGTCTTTCTATTTTAGCTTAATTATATTTTCAAATGTAATTATGTTTGNTGCTAAAGTTACAAAGTTTTTCATAAAAGCAACTCATGAATGGCTTGGTAAGTTTTAAATTTTTTGTTACAACTTACTTTTCCCTGTTTGACGATGTAGTAAGGGTTGGAGTTAGAAAGACCAGCACTCTCCAATAAGTTGAGCACTTCGGACCGCGGTACCACTTTTTTGTTGAGGAAGAACTGATCCTTTTTCGAACCGATGACACGACGGAGGAAGATTTCATCTTTTTCAATCTAAAATGCACACCACACACATGTTTAGACTTGTTTTATTACAATTACAACACAATAATAAGTACTAGGATTTACTAACTGGAATCCTGTTGTCAGAATTGTCAAAAATGATTTCAACAAACGCTGATATAACTCTTGGTCCAGTGCCTTCGTGAAGAAGCGCCAGCCTCTGTTCAGGTCTGAGATGAGAGAATTCATCACTCAATACAAATTGAATGGCTGAAATACAATAAACATAACTTAATTAGATAGGAAACAATCATCCTACATTAACACTGGTAACTGGCAATAAACGTAGCACCATTGGGGCCAGATTACAAACAAACATAGGAGTATTTACAAATATCTTTTCACATTTGACATACTTGTGCCCTAGAATTACCAATAACAAACTCAACTCACCGTGGAAAAAGTTACTTTTTCCTGATCCATTTCTCCCAACGACTACATTATGTCTTTTGTCGAATGGTTCAACGACTATTTGCTCGCGGTAACTCTTGAAACCCTGAATAATTACCTGTAAACAATAACAGAGCTGGCTTTACAACAATTCCGACTTCTCTTATTTACTACACATAAAAGTGCACTGTAAAACTGCAAATCGAATTACAAAGTTGGTATTACATTGTAAAAATAAAAAAATACCTGTTTTATATGCATTTTTCCACATAAATTAACAAAAAACGCAAAAGTTAATTACGAAATTTACGAAGCGCTGACCGCCATTTCTAGCTGTCATTTATATGTCAAATTATTTATTATTTTTTTTCTTGCACAGATTATTAAGAACTTAGAGATGTGCATGTGTCACTCCGATGAAATAACTTGTATCTTTTAAGTCTGACTTTAATTATTATTTTTTGGATAATATGAAGCTTTATTTAAAGTTCTACTTCTACAAAAGTTCTTATTTTAATTTCTGTTTTACAAAAGGAACAGAGCACGTAATAATAACAAAAGGTGCAACGTAGTTTTTAAGGTTAACGTTATAGTTATTTTTAACCTATTAGCCACCAATCCATAATTTATCATAAGCTATTTATTGTGTCCCTGATCAGTAATAAAATTTATTTTCTATTTTGAAAATAAAGAAGCATTTGTTTGTATACCTATTTTAATCAAGGAAATGTTGTGTTTAGAAAGTGTCTTCTATAGAAGACCGTGGTGCTGAAAAGATAAAGGACCCTGATGGATTTTAGTTTTAAATAACTACTCTGCCCTTCCAGATAATTATTATAGTGGCTTTTTCTGTTTTAAGTTAATACCTATGTATTTTTTGAACATGCTTGCGAGCAAAATAAAATTGTTTCGCACAATTTATTATCATTTTTCGGTTGTTATATTATTATGTCCGTGAAAATAACTAATGTTTGAAGAACGATATTTCTTGACCCAGGTGCAATATTTCTTTTACCTAAAAGGAAGTAACTACAAAATATTGTAATTATTATGTGAATATGGCTTATAGGGAAATAATAACTATATAGTTATTTAGACCCAAGCGTACGTACTTACTTAATTCGTGTAATTATTACAAATAATTCAGGGTATAACACAAAACGATAAATAAATAAGTAAGCGATAATTAATTGGTAGGTTGTTCTTATGCTATTTTAGCCAAAGAAGGCTCAAGTAGGCTGTTTAATGACGCGTCCGTATGATGATTGATGATGATACTTATTAGGATACTACTACTTAGGTACCTAATATTATTTTAATGGTTAATATTATAGAAAAAAAATCTTATAAAAAGAGGAATTCGTGTTTTAAATAGCAGTTCTTGCAAGTTATGTAATTAGGAAGAAACGTAAATAAAGTTTTTCCTCTTCTTTAAGTAAGGCAAACGAGTTTGAGCTTAAACCGGGTTTGGCCAGTGTCATAAAATTACATGAAGATGTAAAAGAGAAGCTAAAAATGTTATTATTAACCTAAACCAATCCGATCAGATCTGTTTACTCGTATTTCAATAACAACGTATCAACATTACTTTTTTACTTGTTCTGATACTAATGGAAATACTTACATATTAACTACCTATTTGGCATAAAAAATGATCTCTAATAGAAGAGAAGATACATAATGGCCTGAATTGGTGAGAGCCTAATGTAATACATAATAATTATTACGAAATACCTAGCATAGGCATCAGACTCACGCAATAATGAACGTCAAACAATTTTTTGTATGAGTCAAATAAAGATTTTTTAAACTTCCTTAATAGGAATCCTTAATATTACAGAGCATTACAAACCTACTCTGTTTACTAATGTAATAGTGTAAAAAAATTTACCGGTAGGTTAATAAAATTCAGCTTACATAAATAAGAATTCCTTCTCATCTGATCTGAACCTTTCTTACACAGCGTGTTTAAATATTTATGTTTAGCACGTTTAATTTTAAATTTGGTTTTATTGATAGATATTTTAATGCTGTCTATCACCACGAGGAAATATCAAAAGCTTGCCTGAGTAGTAATTACCTATTTCATATAACTGGTTCCACGAAAATCATTGTGTGTCGATTGATCTTTCCTTTGTTGTCTTGTCTAAACCATAAGCTGGGATTTTTCTCGTGATAGGCAGTCTATTAAAGGTACCAGATCCTGAATGCCATTAGTGCCCCTTTCATATCCATAGGGCTACCCTAGACGTATTTTTTATATGTTGAGGTATTTTGGCGCCACTTGCAACCGCGCTGGCCCTTATTTGAGTAACCCTTACTTTGACTTCAAAGTAAAATTATGTGGAAACGAGAGACAGTTCAGTCTTGGTTTCAGTCGATGTAACCCTTGTTACACGATAGTAAGTATCAAGAATCAAATGAAGTCAATAATCGGATCCTTATTTAACATTCCATTGATACTTATTCCATTTATATAGAGCTGTATCAAAGCGCTATTCAGAGAGTTTATTAGTGTTACTGCTGCAGCCGTCGGTATCGGTTAATTGCTCAGTATCAAGCAAATTAATTTCCTAAATAAAATGACAGTGTTTACAAAGAAAGATGTGCAAGAAGATAGTGTAAAAGGATTAGATAAGTTCGGAAAATATCAACTCGTGCAATACTTTTGGCTGTGTCTACCACTCTTCACCGTATCCATGATGCACGTTAACTATGTTTTTATAGCAGAGCATACAGAATACAGGTAAGTAGGTATTATGAAAAGTTTTTATGCTAGGTAAAATATTAAAAATGGGTCATAAATGATTGTGTATTTAATTGGTAAAAAATACCTATTGTTTTACAACATTTGAAAAAAAAAGTTAATACTTTAAAATAATTTTAATTCAGACACATAGAATAATCATAATGTTAGAATATTAAAATGCAAAAATGTATGATTTAAAACAGAGTCCTATTTTCGTATCTAATTACTCAACAACAATGGCTTGGTTGTTTGAATCGATGCACGAATGAGAACGATACTTAAGTATAAAGTAAACATAATACATTTACGTAAAGATTTACCAAAGTTATTTAATTACACAATTTACTTATTTACAATTTATTTATTATTAAACTAACATAATTATTATAATTTTATTTACGTATGTTTAAATATTACCATCTCTCAATGTTTAAGTAATACAATAACAATTATTTTTACTATAGAAGTTTCTGGAAGTCTTCTTAATATGTTATTAGCACCTATTTATATGAAAATAACCAGTATGATAAAAAATTAATAGAGCTGCTACGTCAATCTGAGACGACTGATGGTATTTATGTTATTAATTTACATTCTAGTTTGTTTGGTATTTATGTATTTTGCTCTATTTTCTTCAATATTATAAGAATACACAGCCAATAAAAAGGTGCTTTTAGCAGTCAAATGTAACGTTCTTCATACTAGGAACAACAAACTTCTTAATAAGACCCTTCTTTGTATAGTTTTCTTTACCTACTACTTAGGTGATAGCTATACCTACCTACCTACGTCTTAAAGATCCTAAATATTATAACTAGGAGCCTATATAACTACTTTTGTGTGTGGCGCTACTGCATGTGCTAAGAAAATTCTACAAAACAATAAAAAATTATAAAATTATCGCTCTAAGCAGCCAGAGAGTTCTTATTTGTATGGCTTGGCCAGTAGCGGCGTAAAGGGGGGGGGGCGGTGGGGGCGGTCCGCCCCGGGTGCCAAGCATCAGGGGGTGACACAAGTCGCGCAGATTAGTACTCACTGGCGCATCTGCATGGCAAGTCTACGGTTTATGTCATGATACGGGGGGAGGGGGTGCGATTGTCTTTCAATCTTCGAATCGGNGAACTAGCGGCCGCCCGCGACTTCGTACGCGTGGATCCTGTTTTACCCCCTTTTCCCGATTTTTCTTTGCTATAAACCTCACGGAGCCCGAGACCTTTCCAACGAATGCAAAACCGTGGAAATCGGTTCGTGCGTTCTGGAGTTATAGCGTCAGGGTGGAAAACCAGACTTATTTTTATATAGTAGATAGCAAGTGAACTTTCCCGGCTTACAAAGTATTAGGTATGATGATAACATTTTGTGTTTATTCGTAGATGCATTGTACCTGAATGTGAAAATAGAAACGCATCTATTCAGGTGCCTGAATGGTGGCCAACAGATGTGGATGCACAATGTGAAAGGCCAATTTTTTACCCAGATTACAACACATCTGATCAAATATGTAAAAATACGTCAATTTTCAATTTCGTCGCAAAATGTGATCAATGGATTTATGAAAACGACAATTCAATCATTTCTACCGTAAGTTTTGGTTTCCAATTCATTTTAATGTCGCATGAAAAGCTGTTAACTGAAAACTACACGCTCTTGCAAAAGTTAATTTTGTGCAAGATTGGACAAAATTAGAAAGCAAACTCTATTTTTGACGATAATGATTTGCCATTATTGTTTTAAAAATGATCTAGTATTATCCAAGTTAGAGCACCTAAAATTATGTCCTGCTGTTAGACTCATTTTACTTTAAATACAAGGCCGAAACCCCATAGTACACTACTACGTAAACTAATGAAAAATGCACGCATGTGCAATCTAAAATTTTCAATAAGTAGGTATAGTGAGTCGATTTACGAGCAAGTTAATCTTAGTATTAGACGTTACTTAGGTGCATCTTATTTTTTTTTACAGTTTAACCTTGCATGTCAATCATGGAAAGCAACATTGGTCGGGACTATACATAATGCAGGAATGATGTTGTCGATGGTGACGACTGGATGGATTTCGGATAAGTAAGTGAACCGTGGCACCCTGGAGCCTAATGACGTATGGTGATCTTTTTAAATATCTCTCAAATACCTAAGACAAACGGTTACCGCAGACAGCGAATGCTATGACTGACATTTGGGCACAATTCCTAGGGGCAGCACTAGGAGGGTTAATAACAATTTTTTCTTTTATACCTAATTATATAAAAGTATTTGTTTGTAGTTATCAATCGACTCGAACCTGCGTTCCTCGGAACTCAATTTCGTCAGTTCAACACTAACCGTTGGGCTATCATCGCTTTTCATTAAAGTATTAATCATTTATACTAAAATAAAATTGTTTAAATGTGTTATTGCTGTGTAGGTATATTGACATATCCAATTCGGTCGTAATATTAAGGCGTTTATTCAGATTGTGTTTGTTCAGCTGTTCACAACTTTATGACTTGCGTATGCTTACATTTTGATGACGTAATTATTTGTCATTAGGTTAGTGACAAAATATTACAGGTTTGTTGATACATTTTATTGTAAGTCTATTGATCCCCCAACTAATTGCTAGAGTGAGTTGAGTTCGCTCTACTTATGATATAGATAGTCACCAAGTACCTATATCCAGGAGTTCAGGAGAATTATGTAGTAAATATTTAAGTACCTGCGTATCTGCGCACTTACCTACATTCAACAGCTGAGTATTTTTTGTTTCAGGGTTGGGAGAAAGCCTGCAATGATTTTCTGCTCTTTCGGTGGATTCGTTGGAGTGTTTAAAATTTTCGCTACAAATTTTAATGTTTATTTAGCAATAGAGTTCTTGGAGTCATTTATAGCGTCGGGACTTTATAATGTTGGGGTAATTTTATGTGAGGATAATTTTCAAATAATTCGCATACATAGAAAAATCCACAGACAGTGGATTTGCATAATGATTAATATAAGTTTTGTTTCAGTGATTGAAATTGGAGGAGAATCAAAAAGAGTTACAGCTGGGGTACTGTTTTCATATGCTGTGTATTTAGGAGAAGTAGTATTTGCAGCAATATCCATGGGTTTCAAATACTGGAAGCACGTCATGTTAGCCATATATTCACCTATGGTTCTTTATATAAGCTACATATTTATATTGAAAGAAAGTACCAGGTGGCAAATGATTCGTGGTAAAATGGGTGAAGCAAAATCTACGTTCAAGTTAATAGCAAGAATGAATAAAGTTAATATTTCTGATGATGAAATCGATGTGATGAGCGACGAAGACATGAGATCGAAGTTCAATGTAGAGCTACAAAAAGAGAAGGAGAATTTTAAAGATATAATTGGATCAAAAGCAATAGTGACAAGGCTGGTTGTTACTGCCATTTGCTTTTTCACATCGAGTTTCTTATACTACGGCTTAGTGGTTAATGCCATTTATTTGCCAGGGGATAAATATGTGAACTTTATTTTGGCGTCAGTGACGTCGTTCCCTGGAGATCTGATAGCATTCTATTGTTTGAATAAGTTTGGTCGAAGAATCACTTTGCAGTGTGGCTATTTAACTTGCGCAGTATTTTTGATTGCACAAACCTACACCCCTGAACGTAAGATTTATTTATTCTGCCTTGAATAAATAATATTCAAATATTTTTATTATGAAAAAATCAATAATGTTTTCTATTTATTTTCAGATATAATTTGGCTCAAAGTGCTTTTATTTTTAATTGGTAAGCTCGGTGTAGTGATTTGCTTCACTTCTATCTACACCTATGCCATGGAATTATTTCCTACAAGCGTCCGTGGGTCTTTGTTCGGATTCGGAAACACAGTAGCAAGGGTGGGTGGCATGTTGGCACCACTTACACCATTATTGGTAATTATATTTATACGAACAGATGTTTTTTATTACTTTTCCCGAATCAAATGTAGGTATGGTCCAAAAAGCAAAATAACTACCTGTCTAAGATTTTTCGAGCAAAAATCTGGCAGACGTATCTGACTTGGGAGGCGATTAGCCCTATTAACTAAATTTTGTATTATGTACGAATATGATAAAAAATCCTATGTAATCACATAGGTAGGTACCTATTTTATGTACTTTACAATCATTTTGTTCGGTTAGTTATGGAATGGTTTGTCGTTCTATTGAATTAATTAAGTTCAATTCAGATACTTTTTATGAGCTGTTAAAACCCTCTGTTTATAAATGATTAACATAACATACATGTTTCTTTCAGACTGCACAATTTACAGCGTTGCCCACGATACTTTTTGCAGTAACATCAGTTCTATCGGCGTTCGCGACTTCTTTTACTCCAGAAACAAAATATTTACCATTGTTCGACACAATCGCACAAATCAATGCTTACAAAACAGCAGAATCAGATGTTAATACTCACTTATAGTGGATTGATACCTAACCCTTTCATAAAGGGCATGTTTTAATATAAATTCATAGTAAAGTTAAGGATATTTTTTACTATTAAAATGAACTTAAAAGACCCATGATTTGTGAAAATATTTTGCTATGTAAATATTTTATGCTTTTCAGTATTAATCATTTACTCGCAATTTGTATCAATCAAGTAAGGTTGTATTATTGACAAACTTAGAAATTATTACAGTTACATTATACCTATTTTCTTGATCTCGATTTACATTGTATTTTGAAAGCATTTATTTAGGTAATAAAAAGAAAGATTCGAAAAACACAAATGTTTTTTATAGATATTCTTTCAACCGGTTAGTTGGTACCTATGCATTGTGTCTTTAAGTGCCTTTTTTCTATCCGCGTGCGTGTAGCCCGTGTAATAGGAAAACCATGTTGAAAATAAATGGGGGCAGCCCGCATTGCGGACCAAATCCGCACGCGTGCCGAAATCCGCATCACAGAAAAAGGGTAATTAGGTACTCTACTAAGTCTAAGATGTGGAATTTATTTTTAAAAGTCATTCAATCTAACTTCCTAACTCACTTATTTGTACAGTTTGCGGGCCATTTATTTATTGATGCGGTTTTCGATTATTTGTACAGGTTTCCAGCAACTTATTAATAAATAGCTTTATCATACTATTTGTAGGTACAACTCGTAGTAGGCTAAGTATTTTAAATTTTTCAGAGAATATTTTTAGTTGATAGAAACTTTGGTAGAACAGTGCCTTTTCTTTTTAATGATGGTACAAACGACTAAGAAGGACTATGGTAACTAGTAATCATACAGTTTGTTTTTCAGTAATGGAATTTAAATGAATATAACTAAATCTATCGTTGGTCCTCTGCTTAGAACCTACGCTCAGATATTTGTGTAGCGACAACACGGCCGTGTATATGTTACGGCTAAAGATAGGTATGAACATAAACTTAAGATTAGCCGGCTAAACTTAAGTTTATCTTCGAGAAGCAGCTAAAGTTCGATAACATGTTAGTTTGCGTCGTGATATTCCATCTTTAGCCGGCTAATGTGCACATTAGCCAAAACGAAACGGCTAAAAATATATTCAATGGGCGCGCCAGGCCGGCCATATTATTTAACAATTGTGACTAGATATTGTTTTAAGTAATTAACACTGAAGAAGTTTTATTTTGTAATTTTAAATACCTACAGAAGATTCTGTAATGACCAAATGGTTCCTTATTATTTTATTTTAATAATTAGGTAGACTATATTGTTTTTAGTAGAAAAATAATATTTTGTTATTGTAATAATTGTAATTTTGAATACCTACATAGGTACATAAAAGTATGTGTAATAAAAGTGATTATTTTTTAATAAAGTTTTCGTGTCAAAATAGTATACATTATTAGGGGAGAGTTCGGTATATTGTACCGCCGGGTAAATTGTACCACCCTCATATTTCGTAAAGTATTTATTGAATGTCTGTAATTGCAACACTCAGCGATACACAACTAAAATCAATTAATATCGGCCATGTGGTTTTTGCCGTGACAACAAACACGTGTGTTTTATTTTGAAAAGTATTTTTTCATTGTTTTCAAGTAACTTTTGACAATACATGTTTAGTTTGTAATTTTGTTAAATTTAATCACAGGGTGATTCTAATATATTATTTAGAAGCGTAAATTAGTGTGGATTACAATTATTTGAAACATTTTTCGGTATTTATAAGCTATATTTTTTACCGATTTTTTAAAAGCACTATCACCTAGTCGGCTAAATTGTACCACATCAAGTTGTATGGAACTTTACCAAAGGATTTTGAAATTTTTTTTAGTAAATCATATTTTGAAGTTATAATAGCGTAGTTATGTTTGACTAACAATAAATGAAAGCAAAAGACTGGCAAAGTAGATTAGGTACAAGTGTGCGTTACGATAATTGGAATTACAAAACTTGTACTCAAAATCGTGATAACGTGTAAAACAATATCGATTGTCTATGTTATTAACTACTGTTCCTTTTCGTTTCCTAATTTGTTAAGAATGTATCGTATAATATTTTGCCATAGTTTTTTTATAGGCTTGAAATTTATTGAAATCCAATTTAGTAACCCTGTGGTACAAATTATCGAACCGGTTGGCTAAATTGGACCGAAGCTCTGAACTCGTACTTTGTTGATTTGTGCTAAATATACAACAATCATGTTAATTAATACTTATGAAATAGTAAGTTGAATAATGTATCTTTTATTATATACCATGGACATTAGCAAAAACAAAAGAAAACTATATGTAAAATGGGATTGAAAAAAACTGGTCCAAATTAGCGGACTCTCCCTTACATTGTTTCCTTTTCCATTTCCTTCTACACTTTTAGCCAAGGGTCTGCGGTTACACTTAAGTTTAGCCGGCTAAAGATAGAAGAAACTAACATTAACACCTCGTCGAAGATAAACTTAAGTTTAGCCGGCTAATCTTAAGTTTATGTTCACACCTATCCTTAGCCGTAACATATATAAAGCTTGTTTATAGCGTGGTTCGCGTACGGGACTCGACCAGAGAACGCGGTTCGATTTTCAAAATATAGTACAAACAATAATATTATGCGCATGAACATTAATGTTTGTATTTTATTTTTAGGTTGCCTACGTTGCAAGTAATACCGTCTTAAACTTACGTTAACCATGTTTATGGTTTATATGCAACGTTTGGTAATAAATTTTTCTTTCAATACTCATATAATTATGAACTTTCAATATTTATTTGATTTGCAATATTACGCAATTTGTTATCCCAAATAAAATAAAATAAATAAAATTTCCTTACCTTGAGATCAGATAGCGCTGAAAAAGTTTTTTCCTACTTTTGGCAGAAGTGGTTAATGCTTTAAGACTTAAAGTTAACTTAAAGTTTAAGTGATACTTTAATATAACTTGATACTAACTAAATGATTTTGTCACCGCCCTAAGCCATAAACAAAAGAAGACTGACATTACCTGCTGCTATCTCGTTCTGATAATTATACCGTCTCGGTCTAATCAATGTGTCTTGACTTCTTTTATTTATGGTTAACCTAGAGAACAAAGCCGATTTACGAAAATATTGGATTTTAATTTAGAAGATTAACGGATAGGGCTAATAATTGCAAATTTTGTGATTGATGCAAGAGCAGCTAACTCATTTACAAAATGTCAGGATTTGAGGTTCGGACATCTAACAGTAAAAAGGTAAATAAAAGTGATTCAAATGTCCATCATGATCTTTGTATGATTTTGGTTTCATGATTATAGTACAATCTTCTACATCTTTTCCTTATTTTTAGGGCAAAGGCTTATACGCTACGAAGAAGTTCGATCAAGGTGATGTTATATTGGAAGAGGATCCTTTAGTTTCCTGTCAGTTTGCGTGGAATGCAGCTTACCGATATCTAGCTTGTGATCATTGTATGAGGTAAGTCAATCCAAATCAAACTAATATTATTAATACGGGTAACCTTACACCTTGGTGGTTCCCTTAAAATTTAAGTCTAGATTGTCCCAAGATGGTAGTTTCTCAAAGAAACCAGTGCTGAATGTTTGCTTTAATTTTCTAAAGTTAAAAACAGACTACAGATTTGTGCTCAATTTCTGTTCACAGGCCATTAGAGACTCCAGAGCAGAATGTGAGACGTTTATCGTGCAAGCCTGATATTGTGCTGCCACACTCAAACTGCTTTGAAAGCAACTTGGAGTACATCACCGGTTGTGACCAGTGCGCTGTATTGTACTGCTCTGATGGCTGCAAGCAAAAAGCATTTGCTACGTACCACAGGATTTTGTGCTACAATACCAGTGATGCTCAGCACCCGATTACAATTTTGCTCGAAGCTTGGAAGTGAGTGGTGGTGTATATGTTTACTTATTACAGTAGAACGCCGATTATCCGAATTAATTGGGACCGGGGCAGATTCGGATAATCGAAAATTCGGATAATCGGACATAGACTAGTAATAAAGAAAAAACGAGGTAAAAACGAACTGATACACATAGAATAAACTTTATTAACTGTGTTTAGAGTTCTACAATAACGCTCAGTTGAAAAATATCTAGACTCCTGTTAGTTTCAACTTGCTACAATACAACAAAACAAAAATTACTTGGTTTCAATTTTTTATATTACGCTTAGGACCGATTCGGATAATTGGCGATTCGGTTAATCGGCGTTCTACTGTATTTCTTTTATATTTGCTCAAGATTATTGTAGATAAAGTATTTTTCACCAGAATTTAATCCCAACTAATATTATAAATGCGAAAGTAACTCTGTCTGTCTGTCTGTCTGTCTGTCTGTCTGTCTGTCTGTCTGTCTGTTACGCTTTCCCGCTTAAACCTCGCAACCGATTTTGATGAAATTTGGCATAGAGATAGTTTGAGTCCCGGGAAAGAACATAGGATAGTTTTTATCCCGGTTTTTGAAACAGGGACGCGCGCGATAAAGTTTTTCTGTGACAGACAAAATTCCACGCGGGTGAAGCCGCGGGCGGAAAGCTAGTTGATTATAAAATTAAAGAGCTAAATAACTTACTAAATTACTTCCGAAAGCTTCCCTAGAATAATTCTCTATAACATTGTTTTCCAGACAAATGCACTATCCCCCAGAAACCACAAGCATAATGTTGCTAGTCCGGATACTAGCGTTTATAGAGCAGAGTTCAGACCCTTCTGATGCTGCGTCAAGAATCAAGCAGTTTTGTCACCATACAGTGAATGAGGATGCGGAGTTGGTTCACAAGCTACTTGGGGAACAGTTTACAAGCCAGTTGAATACTTTGAGGGATTTAACTGCCAATGTAGTCAGCGGAGATCATGCTCAAGAGGTTTGTTAATTAACATTGAATTTTATTACTTATTAATAATAAGTACAACAATAACAGTACATTAATAAGTCATTAATGTACTGTTTGAAGTAACCTTGCTAAATGAATTTGAGTTGTTTTGGTATCTCAATAATTTTACTCATTTATCTTACCTATTTCCAAATTAATCAAAGTTCCTAAGTATGTCTATTTGATAATAGATAGAATTGAAAATGTCTCTAAACCAGTCCCTGGATAAGCAAATTGATATGTCCCTGCACTGCTGTCCCTGCTAACTGTTCATATTTTAATGAAATGGTGTGTCCTGTCATGTAACTTAGTATTACGTTTTCTTTAATTCCAGTTCCTCACCCCAGAAGGCTTCTGTTCTCTCATGGCCCTAATAGGCACAAATGGACAGGGAATCGGTACTAGCCCACTGGCCATGTGGGTGAATGCTGTGATGGAACTAACCATGTCCGACGATGAGAAGCAGCAACTTGATTTGTTCATTGATAAATTGTACCAGTATGTTGAAGAAGGTTAGTGATGTCGTGTCTCTGTCTTATCAATAGTAGTTTTTGATACCTAAATATAGGATAGAATAGAATAGGAATAGCTTATTCAGATATCTTGTTATAAAAATACTTTTAAAATACAGGTCAGTGGTTAACTAAAGCCTGGTCCGTGAGCACGTAGAATTTTGTCCAATCACCCCAAGCTACCCATCCTTATCGCTCGCGCGTAATTATGTTGCTGTCGCGCTCTCACACTCACTGCGGGCGCCCGTCGCACAGTCGCGACATCAATATAATTACGCGCAAGCGATAAGGATGGGTAGCTTGGGGTCATTGGACAAAATTCTACGTGCTCACGGACCAGGCTAACTAGCCTTTCAGAAACTGTGTATGCTTCGGCGTGACATGTAAAATAGTCTAGGATACCTTTTAAAAGGTGGTCGGGCGTTAAGTTGATGAAACTGCATAACGCCTTGGGCCCGAACCACTACCAAGCTTTATACCTATTAAAAGGTATCTAGGCGTTACGAGGATAACCTTACTTCTCCCTTTTGTTTACAGAATCTGGCACATTCCTCAACACAGAAGGTTCGGGATTATACCAGGTACAGAGTGCAAGTAACCACAGCTGCGCTCCCAACGCCGAGTCGGTGTTTCCCTATGGGAACCACAGGATACAGTTGAAAGCCACCAAACCGATCATGCCTGGGGAAGAGATCTGCATCAGTTATCTGGACGAATGCTCGCTGCAGAGGTCTAGGCATTCCAGGCAGAAGGTATGTATTGCTATAGTAAAGAGTGTCGTTTGTTGAAAAAAATTGGTTCAACCAAATATGGTGGATTTGAACTGGATTTATAGATGTACAGAACTGGCCTTGTTCGGTTCTACTTCTTGCATACATTTAAGAATTTTTAGTGGTGCAAGCATTATTTTTAAGTAATTGCAAAAATATGTGTGTTGTTAAAAATCCAATAAACCCAGATAAAATGAGATAATGCATCTCAAAAACTGCACAATATTATGGCCTAAGTAGAAATCAGTGCCCTGCAGTGGGACCTAAATGTTTACTTTGCAGACAAATGCCTCCAAATTCAAGTTAATGATTCAAAGATAAGCGACAATAGCCGAACTGTGAAAGAAAGACTGGCCAACTCGCGATCCGAAAAATACGGGCTCGAACCCTGCTGCCGTTCGACTATTGTAGTGAACTCACTCAACGCAAGCATATTTAGCTTACCACGTGGGACAAAAAAATATTAAAATATCACTATGGCTTGCAGTGTAACCTTATCATCATCATCATCATCTCAGCCATAGGACGTCCACTGCTGAACATAGGCCTCCCCCAATGCTTTCCATGTTGCCCGGTTGGTAGCGGCCTGCGTCCAGCGCCTGCTACCTTTATGATGTCGTCGTCGGTCCACCTTGTGGGTGGACGTCCACGCTGCGTTTTCCGGTACGCGGCTTTCACTCCAGAACCTTGCTGCCCCATCGGCCGTCAGTTCTGCGTACTATGTGCCCTGCCCATTGCCACTTCAGCTTGCTAATCCGTCGGGCTATGTCAGCGACTTTGGTTCGTTTACGACCTCATTTCTGATTCGATGTCGTAACCTTATCGTTCGTTCGTTCGTTTCAGCCAAATGACGTCCACTGCTGGACAAAGGCCTCCCCCAAGGTTTTCCACAATGCACGGTCCTGCGCTGCCCGCATCCAGGCTCTTCCCGCGACCTTTACGAGTAGCGTGGGCAGGCCTCCTACTAGGTGGACCGACGATCTCGTAAAGGTCGCGTAACCTTATCAATGTAATTTATTTCAGGAGCTAGCCCAGAACTACCTATTCGTGTGCTGGTGTGAGAAGTGCAGCGCCCAGGCGTCCGAGCCTGACTGTACTAGCGAGGAGGAAATGAGCGACGACGACGCCGACGACTGATGTTCCAACCTGCTCGCTTTCTGCCTACTCGGCATATAACGCGGGCGGCTAGAGTTAAGTGTTCAGAGCCGGTTATACCAGAGTAAATTCAAATGAGTAGGTCATCTTCATAGAAACGCACCGAGCGCGGTTTGTATGTGAGCGCGCGCCAATACGTATGGGCGCGCTCACACACAAACCGCGCTCGGGCGTTTCTATGAAAATGACCTACTCATTTGAATTTACTCTGGTTATACTGTTTGCTGATAGCTTGATAGTTTATTAGGAACTTGTAAAATGAACTTTTGGTTTCGGCTAATAGTAACCATAAGAGCGCAATCGCTTTTAAGTTGAGCGACTTAGCAGCGCGACTATCATAGTATATGACAGTGCGATATTAGTGTTTTATAATGTTCAACCTGCTCGCTTTCTGCCTACTCGGCATATAACGCGGGCGGCTAGAATAAGTTCAGGGCCAGTTTAAGAAATTTCTGATAAAGATCCTGATTGTTTCGGAACAATAAAGTCAATAGTATTTGTTTATTAAAAGAGTTAGGTTATGTGCTCATGCCTTGTCGTTTCGGCTGCTGTGCTGCAGCTGTGGTCAAATCAATAAATGTCGTATTGAGACCCGTGTTTCTCTGTTTTAGTTGAAATGACACGCGAAAGTTTTAAATCTTACGAAAGAGTTAGTGCACTAATTTAATTATATGCTTGTTTGTTATTATTGTTATTATATGGGTTCATCACCACAATAGTCCAGGGGACGACGGACATCAAACTAACGTCCTTCGAAGCGGTTGTTCGACACCTCAGATCATAGAAAGAGAATAGATATGAAGTCGCGCGTAACTACAACGAGAACCAGTGTCCCCACATTTCCCCCACCACAGCTCCCACACACACATTCAACTGTGTAAAAACAAAGCGACTGAGAGTCTACGACAACATGTGCAACCGGCTTAAAAGTGCTGTGATTGGCCAGAAGGCGTGCCTTATGGCCAATCAATGGCCGCGTGACGTGACGCACACTTTGAAAAAAGCAATTAGAGAGAAGAAAGATAAAATGGAGTCGATAAGATATCGATACTTTAAATCCTGGGGGCAAGGCTCGAAATTGGTTTAAAAAATGGCTTGTATGAAAACCTTTTTATTATTATACGTTATTATTATGTTCTTTAACGATTTTTGCATAAAGGAGTCAGTTCCATTTTGTATGGACGAAAAACTCAGAATCAATTATTGGGACTAAATGAAGTTACCTTATATTAATTTACCCCAACCAAAGCTCAATGTCGTTATCGATGGAGTATAGAAGTTATAGNGTTCTGCGTACTATGTGCCCTGCCCATTGCCACTTCAGCTTGCTAATCCGTCGGGCTATGTCAGCGACTTTAGTTCGTTTACGACCTCATTTCTGATTCGATGTCGTAACCTTATCGTTCGTTCGTTCGTTTCAGCCAAATGACGTCCACTGCTGGACAAAGGCCTCCCCCAAGGTTTTCCACAATGCACGGTCCTGCGCTGCCCGCATCCAGGCTCTTCCCGCGACCTTTACGAGTAGCGTGGGCAGGCCTCCTACTAGGTAGACCGACGATCTCGTAAAGGTCGCGTAACCTTATTAATGTAATTTATTTCAGGAGCTAGCCCAGAACTATCTCTTCGTGTGCTGGTGTGAGAAGTGCAGCGCCCAGGCGTCCGAGCCCGACTGTACTAGCGAGGAGGAGATGAGCGATGACGACGCCGACGACTGATGTTCCAACCTGCTCGCTTTCTGCCTACTCGGCATATAACGCGGGCGGCTAGTAAGTTAAGTGTTCAGGGCTGGTTATACCAGAGTAAATTCAAATGAGTAGGTCATCTTCATAGAAACCTCACCGCTAATCCTCGCTAAATTTTGTCAGTGTGTGCGTGCGCGCCGCATACGTATTGACGCGCTCACATACAAACCGCGCTCGGGCGTTTCTATGAAAATGACCTACTCATTTGTATTTACTCTGGTTATACTGTTTGCTGATAGCTTGATAGTTTATTAAGAACTTGTAAAATGAACTTTTGGTTTCGGCTAATAGTAACCACAAGAGCGTAATCGCTTTTAAGTTGAGCGACTTAGCAGCGCGACTATCATAGTATATGACAGCGCGATATTAGTGTTTTATAATGTTCAACCTGCTCGCTTTCTGCCTACTCGGCATATAACACGGGCGCCTAGAAATAGGGCCAGTTTTAGAAGTTTCTGATAAAGATCCTGATGGTTTATTAGGAACAATAAGTCACCAGTATTTTTTTACTAAGAGTTAGATACGTACTCACGGCTTGTCGTTTCGGCTGCAATGCTGCAGCCATGGTCAAATCAATAAATGTCGCGTTGAGACCATTGTTTCTCTGTTTTAGTTGAAATGAGACGCGAAAGTTTTAAATCGTACAAAAGAGTTAGTGCACTAATTTAATTATATGCTTGTTTGTAGTGGGTTCATCACCACAATAGTCCAGGGGACGACGGACATTAAACTAACGTCCTTCGAAGCGGTAGTCCGACACCTATAAGTTCTTTAAATATTACATAACTTTATCAGGAATCAGTGAAACTGGCCCTTATTAAAGTAAACATAAAAATAGACACGTGGACACAATTATTCATTACACATACTACTTAATGATGTGTCAAAGCGATGAAGTAAGCAATGTTCTCTTACATTATGGTAGGGAATTAAAAGTCACAGTTCGTTAAACATAATGACGAAACATTCCACAGTTATGTACAGAAAACGGCACCATAATATTAATTATGTAGTTAATAAGAAGTTTATTCTGCAGTCTGTTGTGGACCGTACTTATGCTCATGCTATAAAGACGTGGGAGATGATGTGATTGAAATAATCCCATGATACTTGGGCGTAATAAAAATACTAATTAACAAAATAACTACAGTTTAGTGATAAATTTAATAGATCAATATGACATCATAAACAATTTTCGCTTAGAAAAGTGTAGCTTAAGGCAGAATGTATTCCTTATGTATGCAGAAATTCTACATACTAATGTAATATGTAGTTACTAGCTGACAATTCAGTGCTATAAAGGCCTACTTAGAATTTAAGTAGAATAATGAAAATATAATTACATAGCGGATATGTATTGTCGAAATAATTATACGAAAAAATGTCAGTCCAACACTGACACCATTGGGCTATTGAATAAAATATTTTTAGCTATAGATTAAAACCTTGTTGATTGTGTAAGATCCTGCTTGCTTAGCATTTATTAGCTGTGCTTAGTGTATGTTAAAATTTGTTGTGCAGTAAAAAAATCTCACAAACGTCTGATTATGACACCCATAATCGGAAAAGAAGACCTAAAAACCCTTGTATTAGGGTTTAATTTAAGAAGCATGCTTAGCGGTTACAACTGTGTGAGTGTGAGAAAGTGAATTGTATGTTGTGACTTATTTAGGCTTGCGCACACTTATTATTAACTAACAAACGAATAAATGAATTATTATATTGTACAGTGGATAGCACACCAAGCTTATAGTGGCATTAATTTCCAACTCCAACAAATTCACAGTCTTATGTGCTATCGACTGTACCTAACTACGATACGTATAATATTGTGTAGGACCAAGTAGGATTTATTGTAAGTGTAAGGTTATATTAAATGCAGATTTAGTTATTTGGTGACGATCTTCGATTGTAAAAATGCTTTCTTAGTTGTACAATAGGTTTCTAATAGTTTGTTGATGTTGTAAATTGTAATTATAACTCTTAATCGACCAATACAGCTCATAATTTGACTCTCTCGTGTAAGGAAAAACGCAATAAATATGTTTGATTGCAACGAATATTAAGAATTTCTACTACCTGTGATGAAGCGATTTGAAACACTTTAGTTTCTAAAGTACTGTAGGCATAAAATGTATCGGTGACAAATGAACATTAGTAAAGAAAGAAAGAAGAAGAAAGAAGTAACGAATTTTGGTAAACAGGGCCTAAGACGGTCTATATTTTAATAAAGTATGAGTAGTTGTTATATCGTAGCCACTGTATTTTACTAATATTATACTAAAAAGGGCACATATTGCTAGTGCTAGCACATAATAATATTAAAACAGCATTGTTATGTGCACTTCAGATTATAAATTTAAATAAACTAGACACTGTAGTCGAATTGTATTCATTACGTCAAATTATCGAAATAATAACTTGGAAGTATTTTAGTAGCAATATTAATAACTGTAGGTTAATATAACCTTTCTCCATATACCTTTAGATGACGCAGGTTTGACCGCCTTATTACTCCGGTAATTATTTCAAAATAAAGGAAAATTACGGATTCTTCTTCATACTATAGTCTGGTCTGCGAGCACGTAGAATTTTGTTCAATGACCCCAAGCTACCCATCCTTATCGCTCGCGCGTAATTATGTTGCTGTCGCGCTCGCACACTCACTGTGGGCGCTCGTCGCACAGTCGCGACAGCAATACAGGGTGGAAACGATAACTGATCTCACTCGATTATTTCTTAACTATACAAAATATCGAAAAACTGATTGCTGATCCTGAAAGTGCTTCACAAGCTCTTTCAACGGTACTAATAATAGGTTACAGAATAAACTGGAACTATTTGAAAATTCAATGTTTCTAGCTTCCATACTAAATGTATGCCAGCCACACAATATTAGAAGTGTAATTTATTTTTTGTTTATAATAAACTTAAAAAGTCGGTTAAATAAACTCGTAACTTACATCTTATTTAAAATTATTTGTGGAAAACATTAGTATTAGACTTTACTTGCTATAATATTTTCAAGAGATGAGTGCCATGACTGTGATAGTACTAAATGTTTGGAAGATGGAAACATTGAATTTTTGGATGGATCCCATTTATTCTGTAAGCTATTGTTGATACCGTTGGATAGAGCTCGTGAAGCACTTTTAGGATTAGTAACTAGTTTTGCGATATCTTGTGTAGTTTTTAATATTAAGTAACTTTACCAAATGTATGGAAGCTGGACACATTGAATTTTCGGATAGTTCCAGTTTATTCTGTAACCTATTATTGGTACCGTTTGAAAGAGCTCGTGAAGCACTTTCAGGATCAGCAACCAGTTTTTCGATATCTTGTATAGTTTAGAAATAATCGAGTGAGATCACTTATCGTTTCCACCCTGTATAATTACGCGCGAGC